AGCTTCCAGGATACCTACGTCATCTCCGTGTCACAGGAACGATCGCTATTGCTCCGCGTATGTTTTCTATAGTACACCTATACAATTCCTTTCTAGCGCAAAGTTTGTGCGCCATTAACTTCGTCTGATTGATGAGTCTTCGATTGGCGTATCCTATTCAAAAATTTCCCCTTTTCAGCGCGTGAGCGTCAAGAGCCACCATTGTTGCCCCCGATGCTCGTTGGACAATCACGACCGCATCCCCCTTATGTGCACGAGTTCTTCCCACCCTTCCCTGAACCACATACTTACATCCATACAGAGGTGAGTGTATTTCTTTTTGTAATTTATAAATCTGCATGATATGACCACTAACTCTGGGCTGCGGGACTTTTTCCAAGACATGGGGTGGTGCTCGGATTTTATTGCTTGAGCAGATGCAAGAAGGTTGCCTTGCTTCGGTGGCACAGGGATTACTGAACTGCCAGTGGCATTTGCGATAGTGGCAAACTACAGGCTTTAAGAGGCCAATCCCAGATCGATGTGGTAAACTTGCTACGAAAGAAATGACATGCCGCTATTTGTTTTGTAGCATGTTTACCGCATCGATCTGTGGTAGGCTTCTTGCGATAGTTCGGCCGTTACAGGAAAATGAAGAGCTTCTGTAGCACCATTTATGCGTCTTCTTTTCAGATTTCTGGAGAGCCAGATTTGAGCTATGAGGCTGTACGAAAAACAGCGGCTCAACGAAGAAGGGAAATGGAACGGTCTCTGATCAATTATATGATGTGCATGCACCCACACACTACTTTGTTCCCGCAGTTCGAGTCCAAGATTCGAAATGAAGCGAAGCAATATGTAGGTATTGTGCTAATATTAATGGGGGGGGTCTCAAGTCTTTGAAGTGGTGTGAGTCAGTCCCTTGAAGAGAGCGCAAGCTCGTACCTTTAGACTAGATGCATGACAAGTGTTTTACCCCCTCCCACCTCAGCCAGTCAAATTGAAATTCTTTGAGTGGGAGCTATCTACTTTGAGTAACCTCCTCCTTGCGTTTGAAGTGCTCTTTTATTTCAGCCAGTTTGATTTAGCTCTAACGATACCATCCGCTGTGCTATTTTAGCTACGAGAAGTGGAGCGGGATAAGGAATTCCGAAAGCAACGCAAAGAAGCTATCAAAGCAGGAGTTATCGAAGACAGGTACAACGCAGGCAATGAAAGCGACGTGAGTTGAAGTTTTCATATTATTTTGAGAAATTTTCTTTGTTCTATTGAATGGCTTCTAGAACTTTATTTTTACAAGCTAAAGTGCAAAATTTTTACCTTCAGGATTCAGACAGTGACCAAATGGTGTCTGATGAGGATCTCGAAGAAGTGGCAGAAACAGAGATGAATTTGGTATTGCAACGAATACCTCCCACTTGTACAGGTACTTCTTTCTTAGCTGCAAAATGTTTTTCTTGCTGTTTCATTTGAGGTGGTAGAAAATTGTGGTATTTTTTAAGTCTTTCTGGAGCTCAAGTTTTATTATATTTGGTCTTCTTAATGAGTCTGTTTCAGTCATAAATCCTATGCCAGAACTACGACCGTATATGTCATGCCTGAGGTCGGACGAGATGAAGGAGAAAGGGTGATGATGATGACGAAGAAGAGGTGATTTTTTGGCATTGGTGGAGCTAAAATCAGTGAGAAGCAAGGATATGATTGA